TGAGGTAGATTTCACCTATTTATAAAACAGTATTAAAAAATGACATGTAATTTAAAATAGTGTCTAATCTACACCGTCTAGATGAAAGGAAAGGTGCAAATTGCTACAACCTTATTTCTACAAGTAATATAAACTTTTTCCGCAATTAAATGACAGGAATTTATGTCAAAAAAACAGCAGTTTCTCTTTAATATGTACGGTGTTTTCCACGCAGTTTGAGCAGTTTTTAGATGCATTACATCAGTTGAGCACATAATCGGCTAGAGTTAAGAGCGACCAACTCAAAAAGAGTTAGGTTATTCATTTTCCAATTGAGAATCCAAGGATTGGGTTCTTTGGAGTCTAAACCTTCTTATGACATGTTGCTAATAACCTAGGTCTAGATAGAACGAGAACTCAAGTGGAGAGCCCAAATTCTCGCATATGGACAGAATCTTTAGGATTATTTTGATGCCTCTTGCTCCATCTAGACCTAAGTTATTAGCAATATGTCAGGTTCAAACTTCCCTTTAACCCATCCCAAATCTAAGTAAAAAGGTTAGGTTGTGTTAGGTGGACAATCAATGTAAAACTTTATCAAGCAAAACTTATTATCGGGTCAGGATTCGTTTAACCAACCCCAATTAGTTAAGAAAAAACTTTGCTAATGATGGCTTGAGTTCAAGTTAATGATGATGAAAGGCAAAATTTTGGGAGTAAACTTACAAGCAATTTTGAAATTGAAAGAAGAGAATTTAAGTATAAAATGAGAAACATCTTTGGAGATTGAAAGAACCCGAAAGTTCCCCAATAAAAACTTGGAAAGAGAGATATCCAAGTTTTAGGCAATTCGCAAAACAAGTGAGTCGCAAGCTGGAGATAAATTTTAAGAAAAATTGAGTGATGAATTCTCAAAAAAAATCAAGAAACATACCCAAAAAAGGAATCAAATGGGTTCTTACTTAAGGTCTTCCATTGAGTTCTTATAAAAGTCAGGGAAATTACAAAGAAACCGGAAAATATTGCCTATGGGATGCTTCATATTTTTCTGAAAATTAGACAAAGCAAAATTTCCAAATACAAAAAAGGCCCAAGGCATGATATGGTTTGTATAGGGCTGAGGCTCTAAACAATCAAAGTAAAACGCATATTCAAATAGTGTCGAGAAATGTGGTTTCAATACTGAAAATCTTTGTGATAGCCTTAAAATTTATTTTCGTCTCTAATTATAAAATTTAAAGCTTACAAAATAGTGTAAATCGAGCAAATCTATGAAAACTTAAAAATCTTAAAAATTGAAAGTCCAAAAATGCATCACAAGATACACTATATCCAAATTTTGAAATCCATTTTTTTTTTTCATGTACATGCATGTTGAGGACAAGAAGATCAATTTGAAGATTTTTTAGCCCTTTTATAGTGACAAGGCCCTATACAAACTAGTGGGGCATTTAAAAAAAAACTACAAAAAAAAGGGCTTTTTCTAGTGACAAGGCCCTGTACAAACCAGTGGGGCATTTTTAAAAAAAATACAAAAAAATAGTGTGTAGGGCCTTGTTCCCTGCTTAAATTTTAGGCTGGTCTCATCAAGGTGGCCTTGTCCCTGGAGTGGTCGAGCGTTGGTAATAGGGGTTCCCAAACAAGACTAATCACAAATAAGACTAATAAAAAATTAAAACATAAAAATAAATATAAATATATGAAAAATTGAAGAAAAAAAAATCAATCATTCATTTCATTAACCATTTTTTTGGGTGGAAAAAAAGTCTCCCATCTATGATAAAAATAAAAGTCAAGAAGTCACGTCGGCGCCCCAACACCCTAACCACCACCTCGCCTTGAGCCCAATCCTCTCATTTCAGTTATTCATATTAATATCAAAACATTTACTATAAAGAAAATTCAAAATACCAACAAATAAAAACCCACAAACTATAACCCGGAGAACAATTTCTATGGTACACTGTTTTTTATGAAGGCATTTAATATTTAAACAACCAGCAAACTGTTTTACATGAAGGCATTTAGTATTTAAACAACCAACAAAATAAATAAGTCCATATCACATAAAAGTAAAAAAACCAAGAATGGCAAAAAATTATAACTAGGGAACAGACTCCATATATAAATACTCTTCATAACATACTAAAACCCAAACTAAAATAGAACAAATAATTAAAAATAAAAATACTTTATATCAAAATGCAAAAAATTCACACAATAAGCAATACTTACAACAACCTTTAGAATAGGGGCGTGGTTTCTATCAAGTTGCAACCTTATACAATCCAATTAAGGTGCACCTCCAAATTTTATCATGACATGAAATTTTGGTGTAAAAAATTCTTAGGATTATCTAAAATCGATATTCATATCCAATTATAAATTTTTAAACTCCAAAAAATGGTTAAAATCAAATAGATCTATAAACCTATTAAAATCTTGAAAATGAACAGTCTAGATAATGTGATGCAAAATACACTATTGAGATTCAAAATCTTTTTTTTCTCATATTTATACATCTCGATGTTGAGATGATCGATTAGAAAGTTTTTCAACATTAAGACAAACTTTTCCCATAGATTTTTGAAGTACATCTGTGATTCTATATTTTAAAGTTGCAACCTTATATAAACATTTTCCTTGGAATAAACACCAGAAAGAATCCTTGCAATTTATATGGAAAAAAATTTCATTGTTAGCAAAGCCCATAAAAAACAAATACATCTTCAATTCTTTTTAACTTTTTTACATAAATGGTTTTTGATAGGGCTGCAGCTCAAACCAAATAAGTCAAGCCATACCTCATAACTCTTCAAAAATTGCAATTCAAGTGTTGAAAAATCTTTAAATCGATCATCTCAGCTTGAACACATGGTTGTGCAAAAAAATTAAGATTAAAAATTCTAAAAATAGTGCATATTGCAACAAATCATCTAAGACCATTCATTTTGCCTTAGAGTGTTCACAAATCTGCAATATCTATACCACCTTTGGAGTTTCAAAATTATTGCTGGTATTAGAAATTAATTTTAGAGCCATCTTGTAGACTTTCAATGCCAAAAGTGCTTCCCGGATGAGGATTTGAGGGGAAGCTTTATTTTGTTTACATAAAACCTAGGGCCCATCCAACAAATAAACCCAAGAATAAATCAAATGGGCTTTACTTGATGGTCGAGAATTTCGAATTAAGCAGTGGCAACGTGCCCAGAAATGTCATCAGAAGTACACCCAAATTTTAGGGACTTTTCTAGTAAAGAGAGTAAAAGAGAAAAAATCGCCAGTCCTCCCTCTAAAAAATGCTTTTCTAAACCTAAAAGCCAACCCTAATTTTTAATTTTTAAACAAAACCACCCTCATGAAATTCAAAATGGGCAGAAGAAAAATCTGAAGGGGGGAACAAACAAAAAAAGACGGGGCCTTTCCAAGTTTTACTGTAAAGATCGAGACTTACGGCTTCAGTACTAAACCGCTGGGACTGACCAGTTCAAGGCTACTGACCAGTCCAAATATTGGAGTGGCGAATCAACCAGATCAATACCAAACCGCTAGGACTGACCAGTCATCCAGATCAACACTAGATCGGCGGAACATTTTAGCTTAATGTGTTCAAACCAAGCAAGATGTTCATCAATTTCCAATTCGAACCCACCCAATCAGGTCCGGTATAAACATCAGTGAAGTGCAATATCTGATCTTATAGGACTATGTTATACATACCGTACTATTACAAATATATGTCTCAGCGATCCCATATAAAAAATAATAAAAGAAAGGGCATAACTTATTCAAATTCTGCATGGCAACAACTCTCCAAACCATCAACCAACGTCAACAATAGACGCCTTGAGCGTGTCTTTCCGAGGTTCAATGTCAAATTAAAAATCACATTGCACATTGACATTGACATTGACATTGGACCGTTAATGGACCAATTCATACAGGATATAACGGACATAACGGGCCCAGTATCCTTTTTATCAAATAGTGATCATATTCACAATAAATAATTGACTTATCAACGGCCATTCTCAAGAATAAGAGATTATGAAGGCCATTTTCTCAAACTTCCCAAACCGCTATGTCAACTGTCACACAAAATACGTAACGGGTGGCATATGGCAAACAACAACAACAATAGTAATAAATGCACATTTATCCAACACTATGAAGGATTTTTTAACCAGGCTTGCGAAGTTCAAAACCAATTTGAAAAATATAATTTCATAACAAAAAAAGGATTGTCTACAAAGAGTCCATTTATCTTATATACAAAGAGGTCACAGTCATTTTTGTCCCTGAAATTTAAAAATAGGTGGTTGTATGAGTGCCATTGAAGACACAAAAAGTTCCAAAAATAAAAATCTTGAACTGCATGACATCTAATGAGTGAAAATGATCGTGACCTCCATGCACCAAAGATAAATGACTTCTTTGTAGATAATCCCATAAGAAAATTAGCAGTATCATGCCCCTGGTCTCTTCTTATCTAGAATGACAATAAAAGATAAATATGCAATTGAGCTCAGGCAATTATCATCAAGAAAAACAAAGATCAGCAGACAAAGAATCCATACATACGATACACAAACTCTTGAAGGTATAGGGTGACAACAAAAGATAAATAAGCAAAGACCAATTGAGCTCGCATATTTATCAATTACACAAAAAACGATCAGCAAACAAAGAATCCATACATACCAAACACAAACTCTTGAAGGTAAATGATCTCCCTCTCTCTCTCT